TATGGTGCTTTCTTAAACAGATGCAAATAGAAAAACCAGGGGAGTATCATACAATGCCACATTACTAGAACTAACCGTCCTTGTACTGATGTCAGATTTAAGTGGAGGCCCAAAGTCCATTTGCCTCCTTGTTGCATTTGAATATATATACATTATATTAACAAATACACATAAATTTATGTATTTTTATATTTTTTCCTTCTTTCCTCTTCCCCCCACCTCACACCCCACTATCATGTTTACTAAATATTTAATAGAAAAAATTTATGGAAAAATCGACTTTTAAAAGATTGTTTTTAAGAAGATTATGGAATGGAAAGATAATAGAATTTTTCTATGCGCTTGAAGCTGCTGTACATTGATCATGTAATGCCAATCCTTGCTGAATTGGCATCAGTGCATTTAAGCTCTCCAGATGATTCCAATGTGCAAGAAAGTCCGAGAACCCCTGGAGTTCAGTGCCATCCATGCCCTCAGTTCTAATCAGGAAAGATAACTGTGTGTCCATCATGAGGTCTTTAAGCCATATATTAATGCCAAGCAACAATAAGCAACAGATTGGGGAGGGACTATTTTCTACCCAACACCTCTATTGAGCATAAATACACACAGTCAGGTTCAGAAGAATATATAGTCCACCCCACCCCGCAGGGGGATGAACAACAGAAACGTGGGTGAAGGGAGACAGCAGATGTGTAAAATATGAAAATAAAAATTGATAAATTACCAAGAATTCATGAGGATGAGAGAGGGAGGAGAAAAAAGAAGCTGATACCAAGGGCTCAAGTAGAAAGAAAATGTTTTGGAAATGATGATGGCATCATATGTACAAATGTGCTTGATACAATTGATATATGGATTGTTATAAGAGCTGTAAAATCCCCCAATAAAACGATTTATTAAAAATAAAAATAATAAACTTTAAAAAGAAATAGGTTATACATGCAATTTCTAAAGCTCTGATTGAGAGATCTGAAACACAGAACCCAAAACAGTGCTGTTATTTCTCTGTAAAAGGCTGTTCGGGTCCAGCTCATAAGTTTGGGAATAGTCATTCAATAGGGGAAATTAAATCTGAGCTCCCCTCAACACTAACTCAAGCTTCCAACAAGCAAGAAGCATCACACACTTCTATCTTTATCTCAAATGATCATGAAGCATCTAAATTAAGAAACCCAATGACAGAAATAGCTCTGAAGAGAAATCTATTGGAAATGCTGCGGCCTGGCCCAGTCTCAGGATGCAGGCAGTAAAACCCTCTAAACTGGAGGGGCATTTCCATCAGAGCAGTAAGCAAGCACTAGTATCGGAAAGCTCTGCTCCCCAAATAAATAACTCAAGAGCTCTTCAAAACCTTTCCAATGCTTTCCACCTTTCCCACTCTTCTTTAAAGAGGTTGGTCTCAATTTGTATACAAGTCCCAGAGAAGCTCATTTGGGCCCGTTGCTATTTGACAACACAGTTTACCCAGAACTGATGGCATCTAACCACAACACAACCAGAAAAGCCACCAATGGGTCCAAGCGGAAGAAAACCAGCTTTGCCAGGTTTACCTCCTTCCATTTCCTCCTAAGGAACATTAGGTCCCAGGACTGTCGGCTCTGACCTGGCCCCAGGGCCACAGAAGAGAGGCCCAATGTGAGCAGAGAACTGCCACAGCCTTCACTAGACCCGGGCAAATTCCCCGGAGTTCATGGATCACGTTCTTCCTCCTCCTGGGGGGAATACCTCCCAGACAGCCCCTCGGAATCTCAGAGGAAACACACAATGTCCCAGCCATACAGAACAGAGCAAAATCCACACGAAGAAAGGACCCAGAAACAGTTGTAGTACACAGGACCTGACTTAGGGCTCTGCAAGCTATCTGCTTAAAACAGCCACCATTCAACCCAATCGGTGAAGACACGGTGGGTACCTGGGTTCGACGAGATAATCCACAGTGAGTATTTTTCAATGAGAGAATGATGAGGCTTTCCACTCCCATACTGAGCTAGAGTTTCAGAAACACAGGGGCAGTTCTACCCTGTCCTGTAAGGTCACTATGAGTTGGCATCAACGCAATGGCAGTGAGTTAGTTTGTTGGGGTATGAAAATTCTATCATGAGATAGAGTGAAAAGATAATAGAATCGAAAAGGTGGTGGGCACATAGGTATTCACTGTAAAACTCTTTCACCTTTCCTGCGTTTCCAACTTTTCATAGTAAATGTTTGGACAGTTTTTAAAAGCAAAACATATATATATATACACCGTTTCTCAAATCTCAGATTTTAATGTTCCTTAAAGCAGGAATCATCTCTATTGTTTTAAAAATAAAATCCCAACAACTATAACAGTATTTAAGCCATGGGTTGAATAAATTATGGAAAAATAA